GATGTTTTTTCAATGGAGAGACCTACAGTTAATTCTAAGCCGTCTCGCAACGAAAGATGAACTTTTATGAAGAGCTTCATATGTCAGTCACAGTCGTAGGGCTTGACATTCTCTGCCGAGGTGCCGTTGCAATTAGAAAAATTAATTTCCTATTTTTATAGATCTTGACCGAACCAGGATGCAGAATGACAGTACGGAATGGAAGTCAATCGGTTATTACAGATGCCCATATACTTCTCCTTCCTTGTAGGTATGGGCAACAGCCGAATCCATACTATTACGCCGTTCTTCCCTTCTTTTCGCCGTTGGCGGCAGTTGGAAAAACGAAGTGGAAGCAGGTCACTCTTCACCTGATTCTTCATCTACCTCTGCCTCCACTAGTGAGTACTGCATCGAATACTTTTAAAGCTGGAGTGCTTTCGGACGACATAACCTAGTCAGCCGCTGTCTCTCTATTCTCTGAACTGTGTATGTCAATAATATCAAATAGCTCACACAGCTCATCGTTCCATCGTTCGGTATTCGCCGTTGCCAATGAGCAAAGCACCTTAAATCGTTCGACAAACTTTTCTCTCAAAGACTCCCGGGCCGAATCATCAGATGTTGACATCGTCCAGGCTTCTGCGCAATATAGCATTACGGATATGATGAGGGATTTGCAGAGTTTGGTTTTTGTTCGCCAAGAGAGGACTTCATTTTTCAATCGCATGCTTAGTCCAAAATTGCGCATATTCTCAAGAAGCTGGTTCCTGGATAGATGAAATTATCTATGACCTCGATGTTATGACTGTCAACAGTGACATGGAAGCCGAATCGCGAATGCGATGACTTTTGGTTTGAGGACAGGAGATATTTCGTCTTGTCAACGTTTACTACCAGACCCAATCGCTTCACTTCCTTATTCAGACTGGAGAAAGCAGAACTCACGGCGCGATTGTTGAGGCCAATAATGTCAATATGATCGGCGTACGCCAGCAGCTTATAGAAGATTGTACCTTCTCTATTCATCGCTGCAGCTCTGATCATTTTCTCCAGCAATAAGTTAAAAAAGTCACACGATAAGGAATCACCCTGTCTGTAACCTCGGTATAGATGGGCTCGGAGATGTCCTTCCCAATTCTGACTGCGCTTCTGTTTTTGTCTAGCATCAGTTTACACAGCCGTATAAGTTTTTGCGGGGGTACCAAATTCAGACATAGCGGCAGATCCTTTTCGTGCTGCGAAAGCTCCTTTAAAATCGACGAAGAGGTCTGGTTTCAAACCTGATAAGGTCCAATCAGTTTGTTGATGGTGGGCTTTAGTCTTTCACACAATACGCTTGACAGAACCCTATATACCATGTTAAGAAGGGTTGATCTTGTGACCGCCTTTTTGTAGATTGGTCAGAGCACACTTAGTTTCTAATAGTCGGCCATGCTTTAACCCGATCCTATTGTTGCGGGAACTATTTGATTTAAGTCGCCTCTTACGACAGGCATGCCTTACGGCGGGTAAATTCTTGCACCCGTAATCCACAGAGGAGGGTGAACAGGAGCTATACCTTGATGCTGATTTGAAGGAGGGAGTTACTTCAAGAATGTGGGCTTTGTACACGCAATTAGGCATATTAGCTTTTGGCAGTTTCGCTTGATCGGTAAAAAACGAGGTATCTTTCACCCTCCACAGTGTTTGTTGGGATTGATCATAAATTTTGGATACAGTTTACATAGGCAGTCCTCCACGCTTTCCTTCGAATAAAGTTGCTCAGATTTCGGCAAAATGTTTCTTATTGGAGATGTCTGGTGGCCTAGGTAGCCGAGTGGTTAGCCTTGCGTACTGCTATTCGGAAGAAAAGGTTTCAAATCCCCGTGCGAGCAACATCCAAAAGTTATAGAAAATTAATTTAAATAAAAAATTAAGCTAAATTTTCTAATTGCGATCACCCTCGGCAGCGATTGTCAACCCCTTCGAGTGTATTTCTGACATGAAAATCAAAAGCTTCTCATAAAAAAACCATCAGCCGTTCGGAGATGGCTTCGTATAAACCGTATATATAGATTACTTAATTGGGCTTACCAGTAGAGCTGGACCGATGAGCGAGGCCTTAGTATACTATTTAGAAGTTAATGCTACAAATAATAGATGACATAAATACACTCGGATGGATCGAAATTCCCAGCCGAGAGGCTACAGCAATTAGAAAGTTTTTATATTTTCACGCCATAGACGAAACCTCACGAGCCCTCACGTCGATAGAACTCGGCATGTACAGCGAACAGGGACGAAGACAATATAACACGCAACCTTCTTCTCCCTCATATCCCACATCTAAAAAGACTTGCTTGTAGGTAATCCCACATTGTATGAATACATGTGTGTATATATATATAATTATAATTACAATAGTTTTTTCCAACCTTCCTGACTATGCAATTAATTCCCCCTGTCTTCTTCATAATATAATATCATATAAACACATCATATTCCAGATTTTTTCAACAGAGTGAATCCCTGCACAATATTCAAATCGAAAAGAGTGGGGAAAGTGGGCACTTTGAGTCTGGGTTAGGAGAGCAAAAAGCGAACAAAGTGGAAGAGAAAACCAGCAGCTATGTTATGACAGTCGCGACAATATGTGTCTTCATCCAGGTCTACAAACGAGTAGATATGCTCATACGTACACACATATATATATATATGAATTTACTCTCGATTATACGAATAAATTTACAGTAGAAGGTAACAAGGAACAGAGAAAGAGAGTATACCTAGAATTATACTTTGCTTAACCGATTCTTACATATGCACACATACATAGATATATAAAACTACTATTTATTGTATATTTCAGCAATGTTGATTGAGGATATACGAGTATGTATAAATTCACGAGTATGTAAAAATAGGTACTCGTACATAAGTATGTAAGGGAATATGAATTTTGAAGCCTAAAGCTCTCACAAGGCCAACCACTGCTGAGCGTAATAGAGAATAAACGAAGAGCATATACATACATAGGACTGCCCTTGACTGCCATCCACGAGTGGGATAAGTCTACCCACAGGCGCACAGTATAGTAAAATAGTGTGTTATGATCTTAAATTCAAGGATTAGGTAAAAAAAAGCAATGAATAAGTTATTGGGTTTAAAAGAGAGAGTTCAGATGACGAATTAAATAAAATTCTATAAATCAATTTAATACATAAATACCTTGACTTTAAACTTTTTAAATACGATAATGCCGACGTCCTAAAAGCTCAATTATTTTTTTTTTTAAATGACATGTGATGGCAGTTATTTAAATTTCTTAAGAAAAAAAAAATAATAAAAATAAAAAAGTTTTTGAAATTTTTGTGAAAAAAAAATATTTTCCCTGACTTTAAATATCCTTTGCAAAGAAAAAATTCAAAAAGCTGGAAAATTCCTTTTTAGTAATTTTTTTGAAGTATAATTTCATTAGGGTCGCTGAAACGAAACTAAACTGGTAAACGTGTTACGGAAGAAAAGTGTGGTTGGAGCCTGAGACGGGACAGATTTCATATATTTTCTTATGTGCAGCAGTGCAAAGCAAAGCGACAAGATTAAATTTGTGCGTGTACTAAAAACAGTTCATACATTCTTCCAAAAGTCTGATCATGCAATTCATATAAGGAATTGGCTTTGAGAATTTTATGTAAGAGAAGTGATGTTCAGAGGGAAGACATATTATATATTATAATAAAGCAAAAAAAAGCCAGAAGCTGTTTGTTGGTATTAAAACTTTCTAGAGATTTGTGAGTACTTTGAGCTATAATAGCTAAATTTTCCAAGTATATGCCCAAAGCCAAATAGAATGTTTTTTTTTTTTAATCATGTTGATAATGGAAACATATTTTTTTTTTTAAATTTCCTGAAAACAGATATTATTTTTCGACCATCGAAAATGTTTCGTGTGACCCTTTTGTCTGAGATATTGGTTACCATAGATAAAGTGATTGTATCAAGGCTTACAATAGATGGCAACTCGATGAGAAAATTATGCCATCTAAGGCATGGTATAAATTATGAAACTGTATGTCCAAATACAAAAGAAAAGTTTTTAATTTTTTTGTTCTAAAATTGTTTTTTTTTTTTTTAACTTTGGAACATCCCTATTGAAGACCGCTGTAATGAATATGCATATATAACCATTTCAAAAATATCTTAAAAATTTAGAAATATATATGTATTTATACTGTAATTTTATTAATTAAACAAAATTTTGTATGTATTTCACTCCGATCTACGCTCACCCACAATATTAATTTTTATCCATTATTGCTGCAAAAATTCGATCAAATAAGGGTATTCTATAAGTTAATTGAGAAAGATACATTTGTTCAAAAATTTAACAAAATCGAACATTAATTTTTTTTCAAATCTGTATGCAGTCTACAATTTTTGAATAGATCTGGCATTGGTCTACTTGCCAGATGTTTTTGAATGTTTAAACCTTCCCTGCATTTTCTTGAATATTTTGAGAACAAAATTAGCTAAATTGATCGGCGTAGATATTCTCGAGTTTTAGCGAGACAAACGAGACCAACTTCAAAATACCCTCTAACCAATACAAACGAGATTGGAATACGTGACATGGATATTTATAGAGAAATACGTTGAAACCTATCCCTCCCTCTTTTTTTTCCTAACCTCTGCTTAACATGTTTTTTTTAACGATATATTTAATACCCTACTGTAATTCAAAAAAGCTCTTGTGTTTAATGTACATTTCAAACATATTTCCATAACGAGAACACTGTAACACGAATATAACTCTTGTTCCACTTTAAACATGGGTAGTGTGTAGAATACACTATAAAATTCACTGTTTACTGCTCAATCTCTTCACAAATACATGCATAAACCAATATCTAGATTCTCACATGCATGCATACATACATTAAATAACGTGATCCCCACAATCTCACTTTGATATTTTTAAATAAAAGTGAAATAAGCTAAGAAACCTATATTTTTACACTAAATAATTCCGCAAATAGCAAAGTCGAGGCGAATGAGAGTGAAAATTGCAAACTATCACAGCAAGCAATGACAAAAACAAAAACAAAAAAGAATATGGGAAAAAAGTTCTCTAAGTACATTGAGAGCAGCAGCAGAAGCAGCAGCGGCAGTAGGTAGATATAAACAACAAATAAACTTGCACGTTACGTAGGTATAAATATACAAAATTTTTATATATGTACACACTATGTACGTGTGTGTGAACATACGATATTTATGTATACATATGTACATTTATAAAAAAAAATACATACATATGCACATATACACACATATATATGTACATTCACTACTTACGGGCATATGCAGAAAAATTACATGAAACGCTATTAAAAAGTACAGCCAAAGCCAATTTCATGGAGGGCGGCATGAGGCGTCACAGGAAGCCAACAAGCACACCGACTTTAAAAACGATTTACATACTCGTATGTACATATGTACGCACACACATTCAATCATTTGCACACCCATACATGCACATGTCTCATGCCGCCGTGTGTTGGAGAGCATTTACACGTTTATTTACTCGCTTTTGATGCAACTAACAGCAGGCGACGGTGACAGGAGGGGCCACGAAGGCTATTCCCAGTTTCGCCCGAATCGGTCGCTAAGAGTAGCAGCAAGCAGCGAGCGGCAATCAGCAACAGCAGCGCGGTAGAAGAGTAGAAAACTACGAATTGGCGAACGAGCAAGCAAGCCAGTCAAACCCAAAGGCAACAACAATATTAGCAACTAGTACCTACAACAGGAACAACGGGCGTGCAAAATAACAGCAAAAACAACAGCAACAGCAACAGCAACAGCAGACATACAGCAATGCTCTTGAATTGACGATAGAGTGGCAGTAAATTGACGACAGCAACGCTAGCAACATCAGCAGCGCTGTTAACCACAACGTCGACGCTATTAAAACCGAATGTATAAACGAATTGGCAACGAAGGCAATGACAGCGAAGGCGGCGACGACGCAACGACACACTGAGAAGGCGATGAAGGTAGAAAATTGAACTTTCCATTTGGTCTGCTTGCGACGACAGCGGCATTGAGAACTGAAACTTTTGTGTGATCATACCGCATCGCGGCTGAGACGACGAAACGGAGCGCTGAAAAAAATTTAAAATTTGGTAAAAAAGTGTTTAGAAAGTAATTAAAAGTATAGAAAAAAGTAACAACAACAAATATTAAGAAAATAAATGTGTTAAATTTTCTAAACTGAAATATGTATATATTGTATAAGTGGAAAACGCCAAAAAAAAAATACAATATTATGAAATTCTTTCAACTAATGCGCAGTTCTCATAACATTTCTAATGAAAAACGCCAACACTACTTTTTACAAATAATATGTATGTACATATAACAATTAAAACTTTTGGAAAGGAAAAAAATAAAAAAAACTAATAGGGGCTCATTAGTTGTATCAAAAAATTATCACAATAAAAAAATTTCTTTTCGGAAGTCAGAAAAAAATATTGAAAATTAACTAAAAGTTCAAGTTAATCTTGAAAAGTGCTTAAAATTGAACTATATAAAATATGCATGCAATCGAACAAAATAGTGAAGTTCACCAAATAAATTACCCAGAAAGGTGCCAAGCGATTATTCTAAAAAAAATCATCGGCAACGATTCATAACGTTTGTCTAACAACCCTTGGCAAGCGTTAGAAGTTCCACCATGGCGGACGCAATGGAAAGCTTTTGGTGCTACGAAATGTGGCAGCAGCAGCGGCAAATATGATTATGTATATACATATATACTTTATAGCAGTGTGAGTAGAATTTATTGCGTCGCAGCAAAAATTTTTGTATTCTAGTTATTTCATCACCATTAAACATACAGAAAACGAAAAATATATTGTAATTAGTATTTACGTATATATGTACCTAAGTATAGAATAGTGGAATAATTAAAATGTTTATTTCTAATTCAAAATAACCGTTTTAATCATTATATTCACCACATTTACTTACATACACATATGTATATGTCGTTAGTTTTGTGTTGCACTGTAAATATTTATTAATTTGTATACAAAAATAATAACAAAAATTGTATCGGAAACATATAAATGCAACATAATACAGAAAATATGTATCTTGTAGATACTTACTAGGTGTGAATCTTATGAAGAGATGAGTCGCTAGTTTTCTTCTCTATATCCTTTTGTAATAACCATTCACATAAGCAAGCCCAAGTGCATTGTAGACTCGATTTTGGAAATCTTAAGAACTGTTGCTTACCTTATAAAAGCACTTATTAGGAACCGAAAAAATTGTCCTTTTGCACTATACAAAATTTGTCTGATCTAGCAAAAAGTCACGATCCACATACATACATTCATATGTATGCTGCAGATAATTTCCAAACTTCGTTGTTGTATAAATGTGAATTTTCTATATTTAGTTAAATGAAACTGTATGCTAATATTTAAATATTAGTAAATATAAAAATTCAAATTAAATGGAATAAATGAAAATAAACCAAAATGAAAATAAGTTAATTTAAATTAAATTAATTAAGAACAATAAAATAATATATAATAAAAAAAAAATTAAATTAAATCAATTTAAATTAAATTAAACAAAATTAAAGTAAAAAGTTAAATGTAAATATGAATATAAATTAAAGAAATTAACTTAAAAAAACAAAAAAAATATCAATTAATACAATAAAAAAATATTTAACACTGAATGAAATGAAATTAATCGAAATAAAAAGTAAAAAATAAAAAAAGGAAATAAAATAAATGACGTAAAATAAATTATATTAATTAGATATAAAATATAAAGATTAAGTTAAATTAAATTCAATAAAGTAAAGCAAAACAGAAAAGCGAATTGAAATAAAATAAGTTAAAACAATATAAAACTAAAAAATAATAATTCGAAATGGAATGGAATGAAACAAGTTTGAATGGCAATGAATAAAATAAAATAAAATAAATGAAATTATTGATATTATTAGTTTGCGTTATTGTGATCTCGCTTCAGCGGTTACAAAGTGCAAATTATATAATTAGAATATTATTATCCCACTTTACATTTATAGTTAGAATTTAGATTTTTTCAGATTCGGAACGACTTGATGAGACCAAGAGAAAGTAAAACAAATATAAATATATATATATATATATATACTTACTAACTTACTTACTTACTTTACTGGCGTAGACAACGCTTACGCGATTATAGCCGATTTACCGCAATGCGCCATTCGTTTCTGCTTTTTGCTGTGTGGTGCAAATTGGAAATATCAAGTACAGCCAGGTCCATCTCCACCTGGCCCTTCGAACGGAGTTTAGGTCTTACCCTTCCTCTTCCTCTACTTCCACCGGCGGGTACTGCATCGAAAACTTTCAAAGCTGGAATATTCGCATCCATACGGATCACATGACCACATGACCACATGACCTACGGCTCTTCATTCCATCGTCTGTATTCGCCGTTGCCAACGCGCAAAGGACCATAAATCTTACGCAACATCTTTATCTCGAAAACTGCTAACCCCGTCACATCAGATGGTTGTTGAGGCCGATACTGTCAATATCATCGGCGTACGCCAGCAGGTTTACACTTCTTAGAAGATTGTATCTTCTCTATTCAGCTCTGCAGCTCTTATTATTTTCTCCAGCATCAAATTGAAGAAATCACATGACAGGGTGACTCTGTCTGAAACTTTGTTTGGTATCGAACAGCTCGGAGAAGTCCTTCCCAATTCTGACTGCGCTTCTGGTGTTGTCTAGCGTCAGTTTACAGGGATACCAAATTAAAACATAGTGGCGTAAAGGCAGCTCCTTTTTGGTGCTGTCGAAGGCGGCTTTAAAATAAACGAAGAGGTGGTGTTTGTCGGTCCTCTTTTCACGGGTCTTTTCCAAGATTTGGCGCATGGCGAACAGCTGTTCAATGTTTGACTTATCAGATCTTATAACACATTGATAAGGTCCAGACAGTTTTTTGACGGTCGGCTTTTGTCTCTCACAAGGAACTTATAAGCGATACTAAGGAGGCTTATACGACGGTAATTGGCGTAGACTGTGAGGTTCGCTTTTTATGGATTGGGCAGATTGGCACTTAGGATCCAATCGTCGAGCATGCTTTCGTCCGACCATATTCTGCAAAGTGGCTGTTGCATGCACCTTGTCAGCTCTTGACAGTTCTGCCGGTAGCCCGTCAGCTCCCGCCGCTTTATTGTTTTTAAGCAACAAATAATTAATGAAATAAAAATATAAATAAAAAATATCTATAAAAACAAATAAAAAATAATTAAATAAAAATAAATAGAAAATACAATATAATAAGAAATAAATATAAAACATTAAGAACAAATTAAAAAATTTATAATAAATAAAAAAGTTAATAAAAAGTTACTAAAAAATATATAATTAAGGAACAATCGGTTTTTATACTTTTAACTTTTTCTCGTTTTTCAATTACCCACCGAAGACGCTAGCCCTGTTTAGCACTTTCCCACCTGTGACGTTGATAAAGATTTTTTTGCATTTGATTCAAAATGTTGTTCTTAATAGAGACCGAAATGACAACTTAATTGAAAAAGAAAATTTTTTTAAGTATTGATTTTCATAAAAGTAAATAGCTATGGTTGATTGTTTGCAGATGTTATGTTGTATAGTTAAAGTTTTTTTAACGCTTCAGCTATCGTGGAAACCAGTAAATAAAAAATTACTCGCCTGCTTGTCTGCTTTGCCTGTAAATTCAATATTGTTGCAAAAAAAAATAAATAAATAAAATAAGTTAAGAATATTAAATAGCGTAAATAATTAGAAGTGTGTATGTAGGTACAGTAAACGCTGTAACAGTGTCAATTCAACATACTTCCTTTCGATTTATGTATAAAAAGCCGACAAAGCATTCGCTATATCAATAGACATACATATGAACATACATATCAAATGAGCAACGCAAAGGAAGTGAAACATAAATAAGAAACAAAAAAACTGTACTATCAACAAAATCCAGTACATATATACATATGCATATGTATGCATATATGTAAATTCATATAAAAATAATCTTGAAAACTTTTGCATGAATGAAATATTTTGCTTGCGAAAAAGCCACACCCACCCCACACTCCATCTCCCTCCACTTACGAATTAAGTGTATATATGTACATATGTACATGTGTGTTTAGCATTAAAATTTATGAAGAAAATTAAATGCGAAAATTAACAAGAAAAAAAATTAAAAAAAAAAATTAATAAAGCAATAACTTAAATAAAGCAAAGAAAACACCAAGCATTGGCATGACAAAGTGCCAAAGTCGACTGCTTGTGACTTGAGCATAAAGTTAAGAAACAAAAGCAAAAACATAAACATAAACAAGAATTCTACACAAACAACGCTAAAGCACGGAATGAAAATGAGAAATGCAAGATTGAGAAAATTTCGAAATGAAGTAATGTCGAAGAAACGTAAAATGAAAATAAATAAATATTACAAAAATAAACGCAAATTTTGCGATATTCTTCTACTGGGTGTGTATATATTTGTATGTATGTACGAAGACATAAGATTCTTAAAAATTTTTACACGCGCTCATGAGAAGAAGTGACTCAAGCCATAGGAGAGGAGAGCATGATTGATCAATTTTTAGAGTTATAACTTTTAGATTGACAATTTACGGCCAGATCTTGATCTTTTGCTAATAGGCCTTCTAATGCAGCTCACTTTAATAATCAATTTAGACATTTAGACTTTTCTCAAATTTTTTATGATTTTTTACCAAGCAAAATCGGCAAAATGGCATTTTTTGAATATAAAGAGAAAGATTTGCCATTAATAATGGAAAACAATGCCTACCAAACGACCGCCATGGCGACGTCTACAGGACCATCTTCTTTTTATGCAATTTTCCATCACATAAACACAAAGTTGCTGCTGCATGCACTCAATAGCTTCCAGAATTCCATCTTTGAAAAAATCTTTAATCCTTCCCATTCCATTCACAGTAACTTTTGAGGATGGAGAGGCTTTTCAACAATAAATCTCAGGTTTTCCAAGCCTCGGAAGCGACAGTTTCCCTTATAAACGTAGTCAACGAAGTGAGGCCTCATCAGTCAGGTTGATTTTACGGTGAAATTCCGGAACAGTTTTAGGCGTCAGCACAATCTGCAAAGACTCCAAGTTGTTGATGTTCGGCCTACTGTAGCAGTGTTCTTAGTTCTTCTTGAGCGATGTACACGTGTTCTATTCTTCTCATTACTGACTTGTCCCAACAGCTCTATTATTTCCACCAATTTCTGTATTGCGGTCCAATAAGGTGCTACACGACGGCGGAAAAATGTGTTCGGTTTACGATTGATCTCTGCTAGGTTTTTAGCATCTTTATAGTGAACTAGCTGTATCCTGCAACGCTTCGCTGTCGCACATACTCGTTGAATGTATGACCAATTAATATACAACTCTGTTGGTTTTACCATTGACATTGCATCACTTCCCGGAAAGAAGAGTAGTTTTCCAGCTCTTCAAGGCAAAAAGCCACCTATTCACCGAATTTCCAGTGAATGGAATAATAAATGCATTTTTTCTTTTGAATAGGCAGTCCTTAGTTCACTTCTCGAAGAGAAGAGTAGTCTATGTAATTCGAGCTATAAGTAAAATGCTTCTGGTTAGGTCTGTCCCTGATCCACTCCGCGAACAGACGTGTAGTCTTCCTGTTAATCTGTGCAAATAGCCATCTATTCACCGAATCTCAAGTAAATCGAACCATAAATGAGATTTTTTCGAATAGGCCAGTTCCTGGAACACT